CTTTCACAACTGTTCCTGTGGGCAACTATTAGTAACAATTTTGAAATTCCCCCAGGCCCCATAATCAATGAATCCAAAGGTTACCTACTCTTACCCAATTCTAGACAACCAAAGCACGTACCACCCTGCTTTCAGTTTTTTTCCTTTATAAACCACTTACTATTCATGTCAGGCACAATAATCCTGCAGCCGCTGTGACAGTTTGCTGGACAAGGTCCCTGCTGAGAGGCTTGTAACTTAACCATAAACCTTATGTGTTTGCATCACTGAGTGGGCTCCTTGAGAGGTCTCTGTTTGGGCTCTCGAGAATTTGGTATAACAGACATAAGGTTCCTTATGAATCCAGGTGTTTCTCACATGTGCACATGTATGCATGGTTTATGTTTTTGTTTTATTGAATTGCATTTACCTATTACATTTCTATGGGAATATTTACTAAAAATCGATTGTAATGCTTTAAAAGACAGTAAAATTTTATTACTTGCTTTCATGTATATGTGTAAAACCCCCTCATATCTGCAATAAGATAAATATTTTTCAATATTCCCTTGCTGAACTTTAATAGAAATAATGAACTATTTTTCTGAATCTAAATAATAACTTTATATGCCATTGTAGATTCTCGTATTTAAAAATGACAGGGCATTTTACACAAGAGGATACTCATGGTAAGCCAGGTTTTTTTTGAAACAGAAAAAAATTCGCCTACATTCATGTACACATGGAGTAATACAACAAGATTTCCCGTAGATTGTCTTTGAATGTTGGCATGGTGAGTCCTGTCAGGCCCAAACCCTTACAGGACAGACCGCATTGTGATTTTCATCCTTTTTACATGCAGACTGTGTGAGTTGGGCTTCATTATCTATTTCAAGGTCCATCATGTCTTCACAAAGCACAGCAGTCTCATGGTGATATGCACGGACAATGACAAGGAAATACCCAAGGTTATTTTTACAGAAAAGCTTTTGTCAGTTTATCTGATGCCACAAAACCAGCAAGTGATGCAGTGCTTGTCAGACGTTCGTTATTTGTGAAATCAATAACTCGTATTTCAGCCCCACTTTCAAATATTAGGTTGCTTACCTTTTTATGATCTTTCCCTGGTATTAATAAATGTGGTTTTGCATTTCTTTCACATTTTCATTCATATGCCCACACCTCTTTCAGGTCTTACCTAATGATTCCTCTATTTTATTTATGTTTGGTTTGTTGGATATAAATATTTTGGGCTGTTAAGATTTCTGGAGGCCATTTTTTCCTCCTTCAGTCATGCCATACACAATTGCTATATATGTGGCTCTCACAGTACTTTGGGAATTAAAGTGTATTCCTCAAAGCCATTCTACCCTTTCCATTCAGAATCCAGCAGCCACTCTGATACGTTTTCCTTCATATGTGATGAGTATTATTCCTCTTATACCTTTCAATATACATTCTTAGCTGTGTAAACTTTATTTTTTATGTATGATACACATTGGGCATTTTCTTTTCTGGTCATCTCTGTTTGGTGTACAGTGTTTTCATTGTGTTTGGACGATTGTACCTATTATTAATTTGTGGAAGTTTTCTATAAACTAGTTGAAGATCTGGTCTATGTCATTGACTCACAGAGTTCCACCTGCCTCTGCTTCCCAAGTGCTGGAATTAAAAGTGTATGCCCCAAGAATGGTGCTGGCTACCTCTTGATCATAAGGCAACAGGAAGTAGATTGAGGCAGTGGGCATGGCTTGCTCATACAGGAGACCTGAAAGCCACACAGTGACATATTTCCTCCAGTAAGGCCACATCTACTGGAACAAAGCCACACTTCTTTATATTGCCACTTCCCATGAGCTTATGGGGGGGACAACTCCATTCACATTACCACACATGGGGTAGCAAGATAGGATCTTTAAACTTCTCAGAGTCTTTAGGTTATTCACAAAGGTCATACTGCTCCAGAGAATTTATATTACATTGGCTCAGCTTTTCTTTCCTCCATGGGTGCATTGCCAGCATGGACTGCTCAGCTGGGTAAGTAAGCTTCTAAATATTAATAAATGACTCATCTCTAGTGCACACAATATTGTATTTGACATAAAATCTCACAGAGTGGGCCAAGAATCCTAAAAGCCAATGAAAAAGAATCACCTTTGAGAAATTGTTACCTCCAAGAATACCCGAGGTCTCTGATGGCACAGGGTTCTTGTGTAGCGTGCATTCTCATCCACTCACAACTTGGAATTGGTACGTTTCATGTTTATGCCTCAGTCTTCAAGAGGTACTAGAGTGTGCCTGTTATACTGTAACACGACTCCCACTATTCTTCAGCTTTGCATGTGCATCTATCTCTCCCTCTCAGTCAAGGTAAAGGAAAATTCCATTGTAGAGGTTGTAACCTGCAGGGCTTTAGGCTCTCTGATGTCCTGTCCCTGAGACTTCTCAGGGATCACTCCCCACAGTGCTCTACCTCCCTCCGTCAGCTCCAACCCTGCTGCCCTCCTGGGTGTTTCTCCTCACACATGCCAGGTCTTCTGTGGCCACTGAGCTTCAGCACCTGTCATCCCTCTACCTGGAATGCACATTCTCCTTGACTGCTGCTAAAGGGTCACTCTCACCACCTTCACGTTTTCATTCCAAATCTACAGGCTCCACAAGGACTTTCCTGTCCACTGTGTTTCTCTGAAAAGAGCATTCTCCCTGGAATTTCATTTCCTCACGACTAGCTTTGCTGTGCCTTATCTTATCACTTATCAGTATGACAACGCTTCATATTAACTTATTAAATACCTGGCCAATGCACATCCATGCACTACAAAGAAAGCTCCATGAGGATAAGATCTGTTCATCTGCTGCATCTGCTCACTGTTGTGTCCAGAACAGTGCCCACCCAAAGTATTTGTGGGATCAAGGTAAAACAAGTGAACAGAGGATCTGTGGGATCAATTGCGTGAAATCAGACCAGTATCCCTGGGTCTGGCCCTAAAGCTACAAATGCAGCTCCCACCAGGGCATGCATGGGCTTGCATATTCAGTGAAGCTTGGCAACTGGAGGCATGTCCAAGTGAAACCTTTCCCAGGTTAAAATGATACGAACCCTTGCTCACACCAGGATGCTGCTTGCATTCTTTTTGGGACATGGGTTCTACTCCAAGTCGTTTTTGTGATATTAACTTACCAAAATTCTAACTGGATGCAGAACACAACAGAAAGAGAAACATCAACGAAAACATGGGTGTTAGCAGAAATGTTCCCTGGGGGACCTGCTGGTGCTGGCTGAGAAAACCCATGTGGTGTAGGAAGGAAAAGTAAAGCTGCCTGGTGAGGTATGCTTGTCTTGTGTCATTCTTGAGGCAGTGAGCCTACAGAGTCAATGCTTGCTAGGTGGTGAGCATCTAGCAGATTTGACACCTTCTTTCAGTGTCTGGGAGATCCTCGCCTCCTCCAGGTGTGACCTCAGAAAGACCCCAGCAGCAGGTACCAGAGGCACTCTTATCTTCGGAGGCAATGGCTGAAGGAGGTGGCTGAACACACACAGTGTTCTCAGAGGGACTTCGGAAAGTTAGAGAATGACAAGAGGGAGCAGAAGAGGAGGACACGGACCCGTGTCCAGGACTCCACATTTGTGAGGACCTTTACTGCCATTGCCAGTTCTTCCTCCTGCAAACCACAGCCCTTCCATAGGGCAGTGTACAGCACAAGGAATTACTTAGGCAAAGCCACAATTCCCAGCCGTACCCAATCTCTTGTTGGTCATACCACCCTCTCCAAAAGGAGAGGTGCACACAACACATCTCCACTAGGGTTGGCTCTGAGTGTAAGTAGCAAGGGGGAGCTAGTTTGGATAAGAGGAACCTAGAAGGTGGCATGTGCTACAGACTTTGTGGGGAATCTACTTGGAATGGAATTCCTAAGGAGGGCCAGATTCCCGTTGCCTGAACACTGAATGGAGCCACTTGTGGCTTCAGGCAGCTGTGACAGAGCATGGACTGCCAAGTTCTCTCTAGACCATGGGGACATGAGGCACAATCATCAGATGCCCCCTCCCACAAGGAAGGCAAGGACTCTTCCAGCAAGAGGAAGGATGTTGACACGACTGCTATTCCTTGTTAACCAATGATCCATTTTCCCATAGGAAGTACTTGCCCCTTGCCCAGAGCTAGCCTGCAACTCTCGCTAGTTTGCTTAGGCTTCAGATTGTGTCAGACTCTCTGAAACCAGACCAGTCTGATATGCAGGTACAAACTTGACTTTTGGCTCCATCGTCCCAGTAGTCCTTTGGAAAGGCCCTTCAGTGGCCCTCCAATGCTTGTACTTCATTTGCTAGGTAACCACTGGACAGACAGAGAGAAGAATGTGGACGCCTCAAAAAGCCATGCTTCCTGGTATTGCTCCTCCCACAGTCACCTCCTTTAGGTGTCTCTACATCCTAGGCATGGATCCTCCTGGCTTCTCTAGTCCCAGAGCTGTCTCTCCTCAGGGTCCTACTTGCCAAGCAGACCTTGAGTCCCCTTACTGTGTACCTCTTTTACACTGATCTGTGTATTCTTCTAGCAAGTCCTTCTGTTTTCCGGAGCCAGAAGGTGCCGGAAAGTTCACTCTGTTTTCAGCTCCTCCCTTCCCAACCCATGTTTCTTCTTCCTTCACTCTGTCCCTCCCCTCATTCTGGTCTCTGTCTCATTCTGGCTCCCTTCCATCTCTCCTAGGCAGTCACCTCCTGTCCCCTCCTCCACAGCCCATCTCCAGTTCCTTCTCCTCCTCCCCCAAGAGCAGACCAGCTAAGTCCCATTGCATGCTTAGATGACTGATTATGATATGAGCTCACTTCTCTCACAGGCTGAATTGACAGCTGTTCCATCTTTCCCTGCTCCACCCACCGAACACTCCCAGCCTTTTCCACAAGGCAAACTGCTCACAGACAGCACGCCATACCCACAGAAATGTGTATTTCTCAGGACATCCAACCGTTAAGCCCATGGTGAGCTGCCAACACACTCAGAAGCAGCAGTCTCTGTGTGTCTAGAAAGTACAAATTTATTTCACAATGGAGTCATAACTTTGCCAATCAATGCGATTTTTTCACCAACTCATAAACATAGATGTGGAAATCATTTTCAAATTTTATAAAATATACGGAGGGTCTTGAATCAACTTTGTGGATTATCATACCAATTTTGTTGGTTCCATCTTTTTGGCTGTACACCACATATTTGCCTCTAATTTCAAGATCGAAGTTACGTGCAGGTTCTTCTACATGTGGCACAATGCTGAGGTTGCCTTCTTTAAAATCATCACCAAGTTGGTACATGTATAATATTGGTTCTTTTTCATAGGTAATATAAAACCAGGATTTCATGACCGACACCTGATCTAGAACCAGCCCTCTCCATAACTTGGAAATCCCATGTTCTCCCTCAAACCTGTGATCCACTGATTTGCCAATGATGGTATCAGCAAGGATGGGATCAGAAACTTCGGATGTGTCTACATTTTCTGGGTGAACTTCCAGGGACAATATCCTCTCATCTTTATAAAGTTCCAATCCATACACGCAATCGACATTATCATATTTGACCAGATATAGGGAGGGGTTGATAGCCATCTGATCTACAATGACTCCCTTCCAGTAGGTGACGCGCCACTCTTCTTTCCACTGGTGGGAAATTCTGCAGCCCACGATGCTATTTTTGGCAGAGGATGAAGATCGGCTCTTGGGTCTTTCCTGTGCAGCATTTGTTGAGATGGATTCTGCAACCTCGTTGGTGTTAGAGTCATGGTGTTCTTCAGTGGGCCTGTTGGATTGCCCTTCGATCCCTTGGTTCCAGGAATTCAGGGTGCTGGGTCCTGGGTCCATGGCTGGGGAGGGGAAAAAGGAAGAGACCATTAGCTAAGGGGCCAAATGGCCAACTTCTCCTGTTCAGAAGCCTCAGCACCTGTGGTGGTCCCTAACTGCTCCCAAGAAGCCTGAGGACAAACCTGGCTGGGCACCTGCTGCTGTGCTGTGCTCCCCTAGCTTCCCTGGGCCCTATCTGGGTGGCAGATAACCAGGAGGATTAGGAATTCAGCTTCACCAGAAGTGGCCACTCTTGAGCCCATGGCCCCAGGCATGAACCTCTTTGGAGGACGACAAGTGTGGCAAAGAGCCTCTCCTCTCTTCACCTTGCCTTTCACCTCAGTGTCCTTGCCTGGGGACCCAGGCTGCTTTCAGGTACTCACCTCCTGGCTCCTCTCTGCTCATTTCCGAATCTATGCCTTGCCCCTACAGCTGCCTGGGTCCTCCTCCCTGTGATCTCCATATGCCCAGTGCTACTCTGTTTGTACCATAGGCTGGTCCCTTCCCACATAACTCCTGCCTGGAGCCCACCTATGACCTAGTCTCCCCGAGCGTCTTGTGGTGGGGTTCCAGGACTCTGCACGCATGGATCGGGCAACAACCTCCCTTAAAATTCCTATGTGAGAATTCCCAGGTTAGGTAGGGCTCGCCAGAGCCCAGAGAGAGGAACTACCAGCCTGCCCGCTTGTCTGTCCACCAAGACTGTCCTGAATAGTGTCAGGGTACCCTATGGGAGCTTTGTTGGTGTCCTGCTGCTGGTGGCCTGGTGGGTATTTCTGCTGTCCTCTGGTGGAGGCAGCTGCACTGCCACCTGGGAGTTAACCAACTGTGCACCTCTCTTATTCTGAGTGTTTATTTGAGTCTTTTCTCATTTGTGCTTAATTTTGCAGGGCTTTTTTGTTTTGCTGCTGTGGTTGGTGGTTGTCTTTTGATTGCTTTTGTTTTGGTCTGGAGCACCTCTTGCATTTCTCTTATTTCCCTGTGTTCATTACTGTGAGTCCTGTTTCATCATCTTCTCTGGGCTTTCTCATACTGTTGCTTCAGGTACTTTTGTTTCTGAACTTCTTTAATTGTTTTGTCATATAGTAAGGTCCTAAGGTCCAAAGTGTATACACATTTCCTCCCAAAAAGGCAGGACCACTGACTTGTTCCAAAATTGCTTCTAAGTTTAGCTCAAACTGAAATATAGTAGAATTTCTGGTGGTTAGATAAAAGTCAGCATTCCTCAGGAACTAGTGAAACTTGTTTGTCAGCCCAAAAGCATCATTTCCATTGTCTCTGCCTGAGGGTCAAATGACTAGCTACTAACATATACTTCTGATTGCATATCAAAGCCCTTGCTGGCCCTCAGCCTGCTTTTGTACCTTTTCACACATATTTGTTAAACACCTTAAAGTCCAGGTCTAGATCCTGGCCCTTCTCACTTGCTCCCCTGTCCTAAACTCCCAGGCTGCTCCAGATCATGGGTTTCCCTTTTGTAACCCACATAACTTTTCCATGCCCTGCATTAGACATTGGCAATGTCCAGTTTTTTTCATTTTCTCATTATTCTGGATTCCTCCAGATGCCTCTGGATGTTCTTTATCTCTTACATACAATAAAAACTTCCATCCTTACCCTGGAACAGCCACCTTAGTAGTCTCTTTACTGTGCCCCTTGTTACACTGTCCAATTCACACATAAACACAAAGTTCAAAAGGTTTGGTCATAAATACCTTTCTGGAATAGATCATTGTGTGTATACACTCTGTGCATATATATAAATAGGCATTAATTAATGTATACTAATAATGATTTTTCCATATGATGATGAGGATATCCAGAGTCACATAATCCCAACTCTCAGCTCAGTTCAGTTACATTAAGCACAGGCATAGTTGTTTGTATAGCATATTGACAAGCACACCTGTTTACATGTTTCAAAGTTCCTTTCTTTTTCTAGACAGGGTTTCTCTGTGTAACCTGGGCTGTTCTGGAACTCACTTCTGTAGACAAGACTGGCCTCAACTCATAGAGATCTGCCTGCTTAATTCCTTTTCACAAGTTGGAAGCTTAGCTTGGTTGGGTCCTGCCCTGTGGTTACCACTCCTTTCATTCCATTTAGCACCAGGCTTTGCTTTAAACTTTTTATCTCCTTGAGCACTGGACTTAGCTCCATTACACTTCCTGGTATCTCTTTTCTCTTCAATGTGTACACTTTGTAATTTTTCTTGTTTAGCTTGCTCCTTTCATTATAGACCTACATAAAAGTGAACACTAATAACCACAAAAGACAGTCAATACTAGCGTGTCTTGAAATCTCTGTCAATGTTATATATCCAAAACTCTTCAATTTAACCTCAGGCAGAATCTTTTTAGACAAAGGCCGAAAGCAGTCCTACTCTTCACCATCACAAGAACAGTGTCTAGGCCGTTTTTTAATATTCTTCAGTGTTCCTACTACTATGGCCCATTAAGCCCCACATAAAGCACTTGACTGTTTTCCTAATCCAAAGTCCCCAAGTCCAAATTATACCCACAGGCAACCTGGTATGCACTGTCACAGCAATACACCACAGTCCTTCTGTCTTAGTGTTTCTATTGCTGTGAATAGACCCCATGACCTCTACAACTCTTACAAAAGAACACATTTAATTGGGGCTTGCTTACAGTTTCAGAGGTTTAGCTCATTATCCTCATAGCAGGGAGCAGGGTGACCTGCAGGCAGATATGGTAGCTGAGATTCCTACATTTGGATCTGAAGGCACCAGGAAGAGAGAGAACCACAGGCCTGGCTTGGGCTTCTGAAACCCCAAGGCCAATGCCAGCAACACATTTCCTCCAATAAAGTCATACCAATCACAACAAGGCCATACATACTTTTAGAGAATGCCATAAGCATTCTTATGTAAGAGACTATAGAGGCCATTCTTATTCAAATCACTACATAAACTATTTTAGTATTGTGGAATCATTACCATATCTATAGCTCATAGCTGACAAAACCTTCATTATGAAGTATATAACGGCACATAATAAATATATTATTGTTGATCTATCTTTAGTATGCAATAGAACAACAGACTTTTTCATTGTGTTTCGTGTATCTATATAATGATGTTTTGTCATTTTCATCCCCCATTCCATTCTCTTATTCTCCTTCTTCCACCAGAACCTCTCTTAATTGCCCCAGCTACCTTCATGAATTATTTTGTTTTCAGCCAGTTTCTTATCCAAACGTGGGTGCAAGGCAACTTCTCAGGGAAAGGATAATATACCAATGGCTACACCACTTAAGAAAATGATAATCCCTTCTTCAACAAGAGTTATTTGCCAATAGTTAATGGACAGGAAGGGGTTGGGGCATCTTGGTCCCTTCTCCATCCATGAGGAAATATTAATGCTTCTGGTCTTGTATAGATCTTGTGAAGAACAAGTCAATTCATGAGTGCAATGTTTTTCTGGTGTCTAGAAAACAGATTTTTGCTCTATATTGTCCCATCCTCTCACTTACCTTCTTCCATTCTCCTTTCTGTATGTTCCTTGCTCTTTAGAGGGGAAATAATAAGATGAACATTCCACCATCAATTATTGGCATAATGATAAAGTAGAAATAAACTAGAGGAATACACAAAGGAAACATTTAAAGATATTAATATAAGTAATGTAAACAAAAAAGTCAAATGTCAGTAAATTGAAATAATGTATATCTCCTCAATAACAGGAATAATCAATACAACAAAGAGACCAATACAGAGTGCAATAAAAGTATCTATCAGGAAATAATTCATCTAAAAACATATATAGAAGATCACTAAATGAGTCATTATTAATTATTATTATTATCCCCAAATGAGTCATCTACATACTAGTTGTTGTGAATATTCAGCAAGTAACCTTGGTATATATTTTTCTCTATTGTATGCAGTCTTTGGTTCCTCTAGAAATATATACATAGGGGTGATGTAGCTGCAATATACAGTAGTTCTATTTTAGTCTATGGAGTGACCTATATATTGATATCCATAGTGGCTGCACTAGCATTCCCATGAGTAATATAGAGGGATTCTTATCTAGCACCAACCCAACATTTTTAGCAACATTTGATGTTTTTTGACTTCCTTTCTTGCAGCCATTCTCCGTGACATATGATGGAATCTCCATACACGTAATCAGCCTAGATGTCCAAGAACAGATGAATGGGGTAAAAATATAATACATATATACAATGGTCCCATATTCAACCTATAGAAACAAAATCTCAGGCTTATTTCCTGGGGAGGGAAGAGTCAGTTCAGATGAGTCTTTGGTTCTCACGTAGTGTACATCAGATCCTCTGCTTCCTGAAAAGATCTGTAAATGTTCTTTTAACATCTGAGCTTTCTGTTTTGAAAAACATTTTCAAAGTGGACAAAAAACCCCTCACAAATATTGTCATCTGTGTTCTCTTTAAAGGAAAATGGTTTTAAATACAAGTCGTAAGTATGCTGAAAAGAAAACAATGAGGAATAGTGGGAACACCAAAGAGGAGATGGGGAAAAGGGGAAATAGAAGAAAGCAGGGAGGACGGTGGATGAATAGAAACACAATATACTGATATATACATGTAAAAATACCATAATGAAACAAATTGTTTTATGTATTAATTTAAAAATTAATAAAAACAAAACACTAAATAATAGAACACAATAAATTTATAAATTTACATTTGTACTATATGATAGATTTTAAGTAAAAAATCTAGAGAAAAAGAGAATGATTATATAATTTTATCAAGTATACTTCCCAGGAATATGAATCTGTTGTTAACATGTGCCTAATATCTGATCCATAAACAACAGAGCTTCAAAATGTATGATATAAAATATTCAAGAGTAATAGAAAATTCCACAATTATTAATGGGAACTTTAACACACCTCTTCCAATATGTGATAGAACAGATATTGGGAAATTATGCCGAAGAATTCCACAAAATATAACAACTAGACAAAGAAAAATGTGTAATATGAACAGTAGTTTAATTATTAAGAATTTAAAATTGTAGTTTAAATTTTTCAGACATAAAATACCATCGTACTGATTGATTGTATCACTATTCAGGCATATGAAATACTTGAAGAAACCATGCCAGTTTTAAACAGTGTCTTCCAGAAAGAGGCGAAATCTTTTCCAGCCCTTTTCAAATCTAACATTCCTGTGATTGCATATGAGAAAAACTACACTAATAGAAACTATAGAATAATCTATATCATGAAAATAGGCACAAAGAGTCAATTAATCAACTAGCAAAAATAAAAAGTTGGTTATATCGAAAGCAGGCTTGTCATTTTACGGTTAAATATGGATATTGTGTCCATATCCATAATGAAGATTTGATAAACTTGTGGCTACATAAAATGTTGTCATTGAGAAAATCTTGGTAAATGGTAGTGCTATTTTAAAATATTTAATTGTGTTATTCTAAAGTTATCTAAACATGGTTTAAAGAATTAAAGATGTCACACGCATGCATTTTCAATTTACTTAAAGTCTACTGGGATTGTAAACTTTTGGATCATGATCTAGATTTTTGGGTCAATAAAATGTTGAACCACATAGTATTTTCAAACCACTTTTTGACCATGCCTATAGGCTGTGAAAAATTAAAATATTTATGGTGTGTTTGGATTTTAGACAATACGAGTTGGAACTGGAGATATGTAATCTTAAAAAGTTTATTAAACATGGAAAGGGCCCTTGAGGGAGAGAAATGAAAAAGTAATGGATGATGAATAGATTCAAATATGTGATACATTTAAACAAAAACGGCATTATGAAGCCCATTGCTTTGTTCAATAAGTATACACTGATAAAAAAATTACTTAAGATGTTAAAACACATTTTAAGAGATCCACACAGTAAATGAAATTCTCAGGCCTTGCCAAGCACTGACAGGAATTGAGATGATAGCCAAAGCTGTGATTTTTATGTTGTTTAGAGATCTGGTCCCTATTGAAACATGCATGTCTAAGATAAACTATTTTTCAAGTCAATCAGTAGGTAGACTATTCAAAGTCAGATCTCTTAGGAGATAGAAATGTACATTCCATCTATGTCTTTTAGTTGTCACAGAGACGGGCACAAGAAAACAACAGCAAAGATGGTCTCCTAAGGATGTCTGCTGACAGAATACCTAGATAAGTCCAGAAAGACCTGTTGAAGATTCCAGTTAAATGGGTATTACAGAAAGTGGGCCATTTAAAACCCAGGGATTCTGATTTTCTAACCCCAATGGATTTAGTATGCTAATTTCCCTGGTTCACTCTTGTCTTCCACCTCATCCTCATCAGACCTGGTGTTGCCCACATTCTAACTCATGACTGCCCTTGAAAACAAGTGATTTTTCCCTTTACATGATCAGGTTATTGACAATTGTCTTCCTTCCATTTATCACCAGTACTAATATTAATATGCATTTCCTGCCTTCACACTAGAACTTCATTAAAACTTAAGATGCACAGGAAATTGCATTCTTTGCATAATAAAAATAATTTTAAGAGGAATCCAGTAAGAAATTCAGATTCCAATAGCAATGTGGCACTTGAATTCTTTTCTAGTCATGTCTTTAACCCTCATCAGTACACAGAGAAGGCCATAGACATACTCAAATAGAGAATCACTTACACAGACAGAAAAATATTGATCTCTGTGTTTGTGTTATTACTCAAATATAAATCACAAATTAAAATTCGCATGGTGTTTTCTTTAAGCTAATTTCACAAACACATGCATTTTAAAGTATCATTTGGTTTTTTAATCTAACAGGAGATTGAAGTGGTCTGGCCTAGATTTCCTTTCTGCCAGTTCACTGGTGACCAAACTACTTTCTGTGATCTCGAGACTTGATTTTGAACAAACAAGCAACTAAAAAACAACAGTGAGTTGGGTACCTCATGGTTGAGAATGCTAAGGCAAAATCAAATGTAACATTAAATTCTAATTGTGACTGACTGGGTTCAAATTCCTATTTCCACAGACTCCTTGGATATATCAATTCCTCTTATCTGCCCTGCTTCTAGGTCTACTATGGAAGAGTCAACATCTAAGCTGACAGAAGCCATCCCAGAGCCCACCGTTGTATTGGATGATGAGCTTAAAAGTAGCAATCTGTCCAAACCATTAGAAAAGGCAGAATCAGGCATGAGGGTTGAGTGGTCAAGTGACACTATTGATAGTGAACTCTTGGGCCGTGACTCATCCAAATGTTGCTGTGTTTATGATAAGCTACATGCTTTTGGTTAGAGCTCCTCAGAGAGTGAAAAAGAAGATGATGGAAATTGTAATATACTCTGTGCAAGGGAAGATGTCACGTTCTTTCAAGTACTGTTGCTAGTACGTCATCTTCAAAGGCTCAAGCCTCATTTGATTCCCTTTCTTACCCCATTAATGACTAAGTCTCATTTTGCCTTTCCTACCCCTGAACCAGAATGAACCACAATATGTCTATATAACTGCTCAGGGATTAAATGGTTGTTTGATCGTGTCTCTGTGTGTGTGTGTGTGTGTGTGTGTGTGTGTGTTATGTGTGTGTGCAGTATGTTTAGTCTTTGCTGAATGAAAAAAGGTAACAATGAAGGAAGGCAGAGGGTTAAATATGGATCATACAAAGTATTTGTAAGCCGTGGAATCACATAGTTCCTTGCTAACCACAAAGGAATCTAGGTTCTCCAAGACACATCTGTTTACTTTTTTATTCTAAGATACTTGGACTATCTGCACCTATCTCCTCCTGGTTATCCCATGGTCATCACATCAAACTCCACAATTTCGCCAAGTCACCACCTTGTCCATACTACATTAGTTTCTTTTCTCATAGCTGTGTCAAAATAACTGACAAGAATCAATTTAAGGAGATTATTTTGACTGACAGTTCTAGAGAATACATTCTACCATAGCAGGGAAGACATGGCAAGAGAAATGGAAGAAACAGCTGGGTAGTGGTGCACACATGTTTAATCCCAGCACTCAGGAGACAGAGGCAGGAGGATCTCTGTGAGTTTGTGGCCAGCCTGGTTTACAAAGTGAGTTCCAGGACAGCCAGCACTATAGAGAGAAACCCTGTCTCAAAAAACAAAAACAAAAAAAGAAATGGAAGAAGCAGGCAGCAAGTTGGTCACATTGCATCTGGATTTTTGGAAGCAGCAGGAAATGATCCCTAACAGTTTACTTTCTTTTTTTATTTAGTCAGGCAGTTAGAATAGGTTTCTCACCTCCATTAACCAAATCAATTTAATCCCCACAGACATGCCCAGAGATTAATCCTCTCAATGCCTCTAGATACTTTCAAATTAGAAATCAATACAGATTATTACGAGTTCACCCCCTGTCAACTTGACAGACAAACCTATTGCTTAAAAATACTATGTGTTTTGAGTGTTTTTCCTTCATGTGTGCCTGTGCACCGTGCAAATGCAGTGTCTTTGTAGGACAGAAAAGGATGTCAGATTTCCTAGAACTGGTGTTACAGATGGTTGTGAACTGCCTTTTGTATGCTAGGAATTGAACCCAGGTCCTTTTGAAATTAGTGCTTTCAACCAGTGAGCCATCTTTCAAGCACTCTAAACATTACTTTTTA